CCCATTGGACGTAAGCTATTTAAACAGAACATGCATGGTAATAAAAGGAGAACATGCAGGATGAAAAGAAAGTCAACAATAAGGCACAAGAAGGAAAAGTGCAATTCGCTTATGAGAGATAAAACCGAGTGAGTGCGAAAAAGAGAGAGAATTGCTTGAGCCCGAGAGGTGGAGATTGTGTTACTTAATGCACTCCTGCCTGGGCAATAGAGTGAGACTCAGTATCAGAAAACCAAATGAAATAAAAAACAAACGAGAACCAGATTATTATAAACTATAAATGTAGGAATTTCAGGTTGTCACTGGCTGATATTGTAAAGTCTAAGGATCTTGGTGTTGCAAACAAAGAATTGGATGTGACACACACAAATAGCAAAGCTGCAAAAGATTTATTAAGTGCAGTCCAATTCTGTGCAGGTTCAAGCAATTCTCCTGCGTCAGCCTCAAAAGTAGTTGGGAAACCAGGCACCCACCACCACACGAGGGTAATTTTTGTACTTTTTGTAGAGACAGGTTTAACCATGTTCACCAGGCTGGTTTCAAACTCATGGTCTCAAATGATCTGCCCGCTTTGGCCTCCCCAAATTCTGGGGTTACAGACATGAGCCTTCATGCCCTGCTGAATAATCTGTTTGATAGATTCGCAGCATACAATAAAATATTCTTTTTTACAAAGGTGCATGAATGATTGCTAAATCATTGCAAATGCCCCTATTTATGAATTCAAACTCACTTAAAGAAACTATGCTAGGAATACATAAAATGTGTCACAGAATTTCAAAGTTCAGACAATGCTTTCTAGAGAAATTAAGATTAGGCAGACATCTGAAGAAAGTGTGGTTAGAAATCAGGAAGTACACAATGTGTTTACAGCATGAAAATCTCCATGGACAAAAGCCATCTTTGCAAAGGTTCCCTGTCAAAGGAATTCCCTGTGTTGAGTGTGGAGATAGAGGTGAAGGATAAGATGGAAATTAGGTGGGGACTAGACTGTCAGGCCCTTTGGGAACATGAAAGGAGCTTGCTTCTTTTCAAGGGTTGTAAAAGTGGCTCCAGTGTATGAAGGAGCATGATTAAAATTGCAATTTGGAAAAAGATCACATGCAGAGAGTGTAAAGGTGTGAGGTAGAGTGAAGTGGAGCAAATCACTGAAGAGGCCAAGCAGTGCAGGTAGATGGAGGTTATCACGTGGAAAATCCACTCAGGTAGGACCTGGGATCTGCCTCAGGGTGCGGGTGGGCTGAAGCATGGGAGAAAGTGGGGTTCATTCTAATGGTTGCTGCACCTACCCAGTGGGGTCTAAACAGGAAAAAAAGGTGTCAGCAGATGCTGAGAGGCCAGGACCCTCCATTGGGCCCTTCTGCCTCCTGGCCCTGGGGCTTCCTGTTTCACTGCGCATGCCCCGGGTTCTCTTTCCCTCCCAAGTCTTCCTTGTGCCCAGGTCATCTCTTGGAGACAATGATTCCTGGAACGTGAACCGTCAAACAGCCGCACAACTTCTCCTTGGCTTCAGACTTTTCAGTTTTTCTTCCTGGGTTCGGGCTGGCCCAGAGTTGTTCTCTACCAGCCTTAATCTGCTGGTGGGAAATTCTGCAGCCACTGAAATAGGTTCAACTTGTTGTGAGGGGCAGGGAACAGGAGGTGGACTCAATCCAGGCCTCCACAACCGAAGGGTAAAGTCCACCCTTTTCCGGCAGTGCTAGAAATTGCATGGGGGCTGGTCGGTGCGATGGCTCACTCCTGTAATCCCAGCACTTTGAGAGTCCGAGGCGGGTGGATGACATCAGGTCAGGAGTTCGAGACCAGCCTGACCAATGAGGAGAAATCCTGTCTCTACTAAAAATACAAAATTAGTTGATCGGGGTGGCACATTCCTGTAATCTCAGCTACTCCGGAGGCTGGGTCGAGAGAATCCCTTGAACCTGGCAGGCGGAGGTTGCGTGAGTCAAGATTTCGCCATTGCACTCCAGCCTGGGCAACAAGAGCAAAACTCCAACTTGAAAGAAAGAAAGAGAAGACAGGAAGGAAGGAAAGAAAAGAAAGCAAGTTTCACTGGGAGAGAGGGTGAAACTGATGGGCTCCAGAACACACACAGCTGGGCGAGACCTGAAGAGACCCCGTGGAGCCTTTCAGAGCTCCTGTGTCCTCTGCAAAGATGGGATTAAAGTGCTTTGAAACAATCAAGGAGGAGTAACAAGATGTAAATTAGGTTATCTATATTCATGTTGCCTGACCAGCTGCTATAATTGAATCATGAGAGGCTCCTCCTTCCGCTCCTCCTCCTCTGAACACCCTTTCGCCCACAGCCTGGCCCTGCCCAGACAACTCAGGATTGGAGCTGCGCTCCTGTGGGGGTGGGACCATTATCCCCGCCCTCCTTCTGGTATATATAAGCCCTGGTCTCAGCCGCGATCTCCCAGTCTCGTGCAGGAGTGGCTCTCAGGAGGCTAGCAGGTACCTGTCTGCAAGAACTTCTGAATTACCTACTCCAGGTAAGTGGCAAGTGGAACCCTGTGACTGTAGAAGGCTGGAGCATAGGGAAACTCCTGGCCTCCTGGGCATCTGCTCTGCCTGACCGGAGCCAGCACCTCTAGAAGGAATGCAAACTCGGGATTCAGTATTTTATTTTATTATATTTTTTGAGATGGAGAATCGCTCTGTCACCCAGGCTGGGGTGCAGTGTTGTGATCTCGGCTCACTGCAACTTCTGCCCTCCCGGTTCAAGTGATTCTCCGCCTCAGCCTCCCCAGTAGCTGGAATCACAAGTGTGCGCCAACACGCCTGGCTAATTTTTGTATTTTTAGTAGAGACGGGGTTTCACCATATTGGCCAGGTTGGTCTCGAACTCTTGACCTCAAGTGATCCAGCAGCCTCGGCCTCTGAAAGTGCTGGGATTACAGGCCTGAGCCACCACCCCCGGACAGGATCTGGTTATTTTAAAACACTTGCTGTTTATTATGGTTCCCAGGGACTGACCAGACAGAATCGTGGTGGGTGGAAGATAGAGGTCACAGTTACTGGGACAGCAGATATTCAAATGGGCAGATTTACAACAGTCGTAGGGTTAGGAGAGCTCATGATACTGTCCCTGCTGCTCTGTGACACTGTCAGAGAGGTGAGTCCTCATGGAGGCCAGGGGACACTTGGGTCAGGAGAAGGTGACACGTGAGCTGACTACTGGTGACAGGATAGCACTAAGGGATCTGCTTGTACAAAGGTGCTGGGAGAACGTGAGGGAAGGTGGGATCTGCAGAGAGCTGGGGACAGGAGACCTGGGTGTGGGCACACTGTCCTCAGGTGGGAGCAGCAGGCCTGCGGGTGAAGGGCATGAGCAGAGCCTCGAGCCTGACAGGGGATCAGAGGTGAGCAGTTGGGGCAGCGGTGTGGGCAGTCAGGGGCAGGGGCAGGGGCCCTGAGGGACAAGCCGGTAGTTTGCGAAGGGTGGTATTGGGGATGACCAACGGTGGGCTCCATGACAATGGAATTCCAAGTGGGGACAGCCTGGGGTATGATTACACACCACTGAGTATCTTCCTGCTGCTAGGAACATCTCTTGAATTAGTCCTTCCTGGCTGGTCACGTGTCACCAGGCCATAGACAGAGGAGCTAAGATTTAGGCCCAGGAAGCCGAGCTCAGCCCCTGCTCTCAACCCATCAGGCTTCCTCTCCTTCCTGCTTCCCTGCCCTGTGTCTTCAGTCACTTTAACCTTGCCAGTCAGGTGAGGCACAAAGAATCATTTCCGCTGTTCTCCACTCTGATGTGTCTGCATTATGTAAATGATCTGCTTTGCTTTCCTAATTGTCTATTGGTTTCTAGAATTTACGTTCTCAGCAACTATGTATGACCCTTTCCGTGACACCACTGATCACCAACTCTCTACATTTTAACACTTGCAGTGTCAGCTTTTGGCCTCTATTCATCAAACCCAGAATGTCTTATGCCCCCAAGGCCATGGTGATAATCGAATCATCAGACTCTTTAAGGGCTGGCATCATTTTGATGTATTCTTCCTTCTATTGGGTAGCTGTTCTCGGATCCTAATTTACACATCAGGGTTGTATCCATGAGACACCCTCCGTAGAGTGCTCTGAATTTTCCCCAACACTTGAAAGACCACTGAAAGCTCTGTCAGCCTCTCAGCCTTTCATCTTCCATTTCAGAATCAGTACCTGTTTCTAACAGTAAGCTCCAGTCCTACTCAAAATCTTGCTCCTACAAATCCTTTACTAGATGGTAGCTCCCAGATGACTTCAAAGATGAGTTGTGTGTCTGTAAGTATGTGTTTCCCAGCTTTATTCCACACTGGAATCCTAATCTCCAATTTCATTCTGAGCATCATTGGAAAACTCCGTTTTCTTACTTGACAGGGTCTTCACGGTCAATCAAATCTCATTAAACCTCCAGCCATCTATGTACACAGTCGGCATGTGCAGCAGGTGAAAAGCTCAGATGACCAGTACACATTGGGTCATGAATCCAGCACCGTCAGAAGCATCTGTGGTTTAAACCTAAAAGTGCCATATGCTATTGTAGGTTTTTCACAGAGTTGCTGTGATTGAAGTTTCCATTTTTATCCTTCTGTAGTTGATTCTCCTAGAGTCCAGTAGGTTAAGTAAGTTTCCCCAGATAACACACAGAGCATGTGAGTAAGTCTGGAATCAAACTCAGACACAGGGCATTTGGCCCCAAAGACCTTGCTCTTTCCACAGAACCATAGAGCCCCATGTGGTTGATTTGGATGTGGGGGCTGGGGTGGAAAGAAGAATCATTGGTTGCCTTAAACATGGGAGTGAGCAGAGTATAGGAGGAAGGAAGGTCTGCTCCAAGGTGGGCTTCCTGCAGCAGGATGGGTTTTGTAGGTATCAGGAGAATGTCAGCCTTTTCTAAATGAAGGAATTCCTTCTTGTCCCCAGGACCTCACAGGCACTTTAGAGTCGTGTCATCTTCTGACCAAGACAATTGCTGAGCTTGGCTTCGAATTCTCTTTCTTTCACAGCTACTCGCCCCACTACTCTGTGACCTGCCACAGAGCTGCTCTCAGCTGCTGAGGCTGGTGGCCCCAGAGGACATCAAGGACAATCTTCAACTGACAGGGACACCTGCAGGACAGAAAGGTCAGGGAGATCTGAAAGCAGAGCAGCTTCTCTGTCCAGACCTTCATCCACAGTCCAATGGCGGAGGCAGCAGCCCTGGCAAGACTCCAGGAAGAGGCCAAGTGCTCCATCTGTTTGGATATCCTGAGTGATCCCATCACCATCGAATGTGGGCACAACTTCTGTCGTTCCTACATCCAACAGTCCTGGACGGATCTGCAGGAATTGTTCCTTTGCCCTGTCTGTCGTCACCAATGCCCAGAGAGGCACTTCAGGAACAACACCCAGATGGGACGGATGACGGACATTGCCAAGCTACTCCAGAAAGCCAGGGCCAGTGAAACCAGGCAGGAAGAAACGCCCCTGTGCGAGAAGCACAACCAGCCCCTGAGCGTTTTCTGCGAGGAGGACCTGGTGGTGCTGTGTCCCCAGTGCACTCAGCCCCCTGACCACCAGGGCCACCACATGAGGCCCATAGAGAAGGCTGCCTCTCATCACAGGGAAAGGCTCCGCAGTTACATCCAGCCCCTGAAGAGGCAGGTGGCTGAAGCTAGGAAGCTGCGAGCCACCCCGGGCAGAAAATTGCTGGAGCTGAGAGAGAAGATGGAAAGCCAAAGGCAGGAATTATCCTCAGAATTGACTCTCTTGATAAAGTTTGTAGACCGTGAGCACCAGGCAGCCCTCTCCAGGTTAGATGAAGAAGAAGAGGATATTCAGGAGAAACTCCATGCAAACATGAGGGCACTTTCAGAACACATTTCCTCCGTGGAAAGTTTACTCACGCAGGTGGCAGAGACGAGTGTGATGGCAGACGTGAACCTGCTGATGGATATCAGAAGCGTCCTGCCCAGGTGTCACGGCCTGCAGTCCCCAGCTGTCCACTCCGTGCAGCCTCGGAAGGAAGAATTCAGGCTTCCCCCACCCTACTCGGCTTTTCAGAAAATCTTACAGAAGTTTAGAGAAGACGTTACTCTGGATCCCAAAACTGCACATCCTCATCTGCGTGTCTCCGAGGATAAGAAATGTGTGACATTTGTTAAGAAAAGGCAGAGAGTTCGCTGGAATCCAAAGAGATTTTTGTGCCATCTCATGGTCCTGGGCTCAGAGGGCTTCACCTGTGGCCGGCATTACTGGGAGGTGCAAGTGGATGACAAGCCCACGTGGGCCGTGGGGGTGTGTAAGGACTCCCTGCCCAGGAAGAAGGGAGAGTGGCCCCTGTCAGGACACAGCATGTGCTGGGCTATCCTGCTGCGGAAGGGTGAGTATGTGGCCCGAGGTGCTGCCACTGTCTCCCTTCCCCTGAAGGAGAAGCCCAGAGGAATTGGCATTTATCTGGACTATGAGTTGGGTGAGCTCTCCTTTTACAATTTGAATGACAGGTCTCACATCCATTCCTTCACTGATACATTTTCAGAAGCACTAAAGCCTTATTTCTGTATGGGGTGTGATTCAAAACCTCTTAGAATCTGCCCAGTGATGGATTATGATGAATGAACTGTGACAATGCTTCATTTTCTTCCATCTGTCCTATGAACAAAGGGTGAATTTTATACAACCGTTAGTGAATTTTTACACCCACACTATAAAATATTTTTATAGGTTTAGTTTTTTTTTCTTTTATTTTCTTTACTTTTCTTTCCAAAAATTGTATTGTTTCAGCAGGGTGAAGTAGTTCACACCTGTAATTTTAGCACTTTGGGAGGTTGAGGCAGGCAAATTATCTGAGGTGAGAAGTTTGAGACCAACCTGGCCAACATAATGAAACCCTGTCTCTACTAAAAATACAAAAATTATTGGGGTGTGGTGGCACATGCCTGTAATCCCAGCTACTCAGGAGGCAGAGGCAGGAGAATCACTTGAACCCAGGAGTTTGAGGTTGCAGTGAGCCCAGATCGCGCCACTGCACTGCAGCCTGGGGAGAAGGGTGACAGAATGAGACTTTGTTTAAAAAAAATTATGTTGTTTCCATATCAAGGGATGTAGGAAGTAACAGGTGTGGGGATTAACTGTAAAGTGTTTTTGTAATTTGAAATTTGGAGTTTGTGGAATTGTAATCTTGGAAGTCTGATACATTTTGTGTACATTTCTATCTTGTCTATATCTCTTCCTGTAACTCAGTGTACCTTACAAATGGAAGGTAGCAGTGGCAGAGAAGATGTGACTGTGGAGACAGTTCTCTAAAGGTCTCCCATTTCTGCATGTGCTGAGAGCAAGGCGCTGATTACTCCAGACTAGGAATTCAAAGACGTTCTTGTGGGAACATGGTATAAAAAGGCTACTATTGTATGATTCCAACAATACGACATTCTGTAAAAGGGGAAACTATGAAGACAGTAAGAATCAGTGGTGTCCAGGGGTTGGGGAGAGGGAGGGATGAGTAGGTGGAGCACAGAGATCTGTTCAGTTCTGGGAGCCACTCTGTGTGGTGCCATGGTGGCAGATACATGTCATTATGCATTTGTCATCACCAATAGACTGTACACCACCAAGAGTGAACCCTGATGTAAACTGTGGACTCAGGTGATACTGTTGTGTCAATGGAGGTTCATCAGTTGTAACCAATGTGCCACTCTGGATAGGATGCCGATAGTGGTAGAGGCTGTGCTTATTTAGAGGGAGGGCGTATGTGGGACATCTCTGTACCTTCTGCCCAATCCTGCTGTGAATGGAAAACTTATTTTGAAAATAAAACTTATAAAAATAAAAGAAAAAGTAAAAAAGTGTACTTCTTGCCTCTGCAAAAGTGCAAAGGATTTTACTGTGATATTCACTGTGAGAACATGATAGAGTTTCTGAGAGGTGAGACTCACAGGAATGTAGGGCTGGCTCACTAATGCCAAGGGCCCCTGGAGGGCAGGTGAGCCTGGACTCAGTAAAGGGGCAGGAACCTTGGGTGAGGTTTGCGGGGGTGGGATGTGACCTCACTGGACCAGTCAGCCTGTGGGATGATCCTGCAAAGGTGACTCACAACAATCCATGAGGATGAAATTGGGGTGGTTTGGGACGCAGATTGGAGGAGGTGCTGTTTAGATTCATGCTGAAGTGGACTGGCCAGCAGAGTGGATGGTGGATGATGAAGGCTCATAAGAGGAAGATGCAGTTCATGTGAGGGAGGCAGACGGGACAGCTTTGTCTGAGGACAGAGACCACATAACTTTAGAACACTGAGCCCTGATGCCTGGCCTTCCTCTTGCCACAGATTTCTTTCATCTCAATTTGGGAGATTTATCTGGCCTTTGAAGAAGCAGGACAAGGAGGAAGATGGAGTTGGAGTGGCAAGAGAATGGGGAGAGATTTGTGTCAATTGTGAAATGAAGAAAGAGATAGGAGGAAGTTTAGAGCTTTACAATACTGTGAAAGTGAAAGATGAGGTTCGGAAAGGAGATTAAGAGAGAAGCAGCTGGGCGTGGTGGCTCATGCCCGTAATCCCAGCGGTTTGGGAGTCCAGGGCAGTTGAATCAGCTGAGCCCAGGAGATCGAGACTAGACTGGGCATTATGGAAAATCTTGTTTCTACAAAGAACACAAAAATCAGCTGGGCATGGTGTCACCCATTTGTAGTCCCACCTAGTAAGGAGGCTTAGGTGAGAGGATGGCTTGATACTGGGGGGTGGAGGTTGCAGTGAGCTGTGATCACACCATTGCACTCCTGTCTGGAGTGCAACACCCTAGAACGAGACCCTGCCCTAAACAACAACAGCAACAAAAATAAATAGAAAAGAAAATAAGGCAGGAAGGGAAGGAGGAAGGAAAGAATGGAGGAAGAAAGGAAGACAGAAAGGAAAAAAGAAAGAAATTACGTAAATCCTTTTGATTGATAAACATTCCCGTCATTGCTTTAATATACAGTTGTCCCTTGAAAAACATGAGTTTAGGCCGGGCGCGGTGGCTCACACCTGTAATCCCAGCACTTTGGGAGGCTAAGGTAGGTGGATCACAAGGTCAAGAGATCACAACCATCCTGGTCAACATGGTGAAACCCTGTCTCTACTAAAAATACAAAAATTAGCTGGGCATGGTGGCGCAAGCCTGTAGTCCCAGCTACTCGGGAGGCCGAAGCAGGAGAATTGCTTGAACCCAGGAGGCGGAGGTTGCAGTGAGCCGAGATCATGCCACTGCACTCCAGCCTGGGTAACGAGGGAAACTCCGTCTCAAAAAAAAAAAAGGAAAGAAAAAAAGAAAAACATGAGTTTAAACTATGCAAGTCCATGTTTTGCAGAGTTCCTTCTCCCTCTGCCACCACTGAGACAGCAAGAACAATCCCTCCTCCTCCCCCTTCTCCTCGTTCACCTGCTCAATGTGAAGAGAATGAGGATGAACACCTTTATGATGATCACTTTCACTAATAAAGAGTAGATTACTTTTTATTCCTTGTGATTTTCTTAATAAAGTGTGCCTTTCTTAAGCTTACTTTATTATTATAATACAGTACAAAATACGCAGAACATGAGATGCATGTTACTCAGCTGTTGATGTTATCAGGAAGCCTTCTGTCAAGAGCATGCTATTATTGGTCCAGTTTTTGAGAAGTCAAAGACTGTACACAGAGTAGGGTTTGTCATTGTAATCCCCACATTGTTTAAGTGTCAATTGTGTATTCTTATGTTTTTCTTTTTTTTTTTTAATGTTGAAGAAAGCTGGTTTACTGTCCTGTTAATGTTCTATGGCCTGAAATAGTTTACATGGCCTCTAATTTCATGGCTTCTTGATGTCATGACCCTTCATAAGAAAGATGACTGAGTAAAGGAAGATTCGGTGCTAAGGGATCAGCAGGTGCCTTTGGACCATCCCTCCCTCTGGAGCTGCTTCTAGAGCTGAGTAAAAGGAAGCAGACACTGGCTTGTGTGGTGACAACTTTCTGACGACCCTGTGAAGCCCAGAGGCTGCGGGTGGGAGGGAGAACTCTGAGGAGGCACCAGCTTCTCCCTTTCCCTCATTCCTGGAGAATCCCATCTATTGAAAGACATGTCCCCAGACACACCCTCCCTGCAGTATGTCCTTTGCCACCATGCTTGCTGAGCTTCAAGCAGAGGCCAGCTGCCCCATCTGCCTGGATTACCTGAAGGACTCTGTCACCACTGACTGTGGCCACAGCTTCTGTCCATTCTGCATCCACCAGTGCTGGGAAGACCTATGGGACGACTTCCCCTGTCTCTTCTGCCTCCACCACTGCCCTGACAAGAACCTCAAGAAGCAACACCCAATTACACCACATGACTGATACTGTTCAGCAGCTTCCCACCACGAGGAATGCCAGGAAAGGGCAAGAAGAGGAGCCCCTGTGTGGGAAGCACAGCCAGCCTTGCTCTGAAACCACCACGACAATCTCAACCTGGTCTTCTTTCCCTGCTGGTTGAAGTTATTTTTGGACCTACTTTGTAGGTACCCTCCTCTCCCCATAAACTTCATTATGTAAATAGTCATATATTTGGTAATTCCTTGGTGTGTGCATGACATCAGCAATCTCAACACTGAACCATATATTATTATTATTGAGCAGAGATTTTTAAATTATGAAGAACAAGACTTATCTAAAATTTGTGTGTTGAAAGGTTATACTACAGCATGACTATAATCTAGGTAATACAAAACATAATTTTTTTGTTGTTTCTTTTTATTTTTTCAAAATAAAGTCCCAAGATTGAGCCGATAAAACATATTCTCTAATCTCTGCCTTCATTTTAGTATAGATGACGTAGCAAAAAGATTAGTGTGAGTTTTTAGTTAGAGGGCAGGTTTCTAAAGTACATAATGCCTGCAATCACTTGTTACTCTGAAGAGTTTAGTCTCATCCCCTAATTTTATTTGCTTATTGTAGGACTATGAATAATGTTATTCATGGAGTAACTGTTATGTAGAAATCACTATACCAAGATACATGTTCAATAGACTTGTTTTGGTTCATTTTTTGTTTTTGATTTTAGAGATAAGGTCTTACTCTGCTACTCAGGCTTGATTGCAGTGGGGTGATCTATACTCTGCAGCATCTACCTCCTGGGCTCAAGTGATCTCACCCCAGTCTCCCAAGTAGCTGAAACTACAGGAGCGTGATGCCAAATCTGACTTTTTTTTTTTTCTTTTTCTAGAGTCAGGGTCTTGCTACACTACCAGGCTGGTCTTCTACTGACCTTAAGAAATCATCCTTCCTCAGCCTCCTAAAGTACTGGGATTAAGGAATAAGCCTCTATGACTGGTCTTTGATAGACTTTTATATTACATAATAGAAACAACTCTGTGAGTTTCATATTACCATCTTTATTTTACAGAAAAGCCAATCGAAACCTAGAAAAACTAAGTTTTTCATAGACAACTGAGAAAGTGGTTGAGTTGAGCCACAGGTTTATTGACACCAAAACTTACACTCATGGCAGCGTTCCTGTCTCAAACTGTGTCTCTTTCACCTTGATTATAAGACTGATATGTATTTCTTTAGATAAATTGCCATTCTGTCCCTTTTAGGCTATTTACATGGGTGTGTTTTCAAGGTGGATTTAAAAGGTGAAATGCATGAGCAATTCAGCTCCAGAAGTGCTTTGATAGAGACATAGATGGACACAGGGCACTCTGGGAATGTGGGGAATGTTCAGTGTGGCTCTGGGTCTTGGATATGCTGCTTAACAATTTTCAGTCCAGGCTGGGCATGTTGGCTCTCACCTGTAATCCCAGCATTTTGGGAGGCCAACACGGGAGAATCGCTTGAGGTCAGGTGTTTGAGATCAGCCTGGACAAAAGAGCAAAACCCTGTCTCTGCAAAACATAAAAAACTAGCAGGGTTGGTGGTGTGCACCGGTAGTCCCAGCTGTTAGGGAGGCTGAGGTGGGAGGATCACTTGAGTCTGGGAGGTAAAGTTGGCAGTGAGCCAAGATCTGCCACTGCACTTTAGCCTGGTGACAGAGAGAGACTCCATCTCAAACAAAACAAAAGAAAGCAAACAACAGCAACCACCCCCACCCATCAAACAATTCTCAGTCCAGAAGGGGCCCAGGGACTGACACCTGTAACCCCAGCACTTAGAGAGTAAAGACTAGAGGCTTGCTTGAGCCCAGGTGTTCAAGGCCAGCCTGGAAAACATAGTGAGACCTATGAATCTGTAATAAATAAAACAAAATAAATTTATTTTAAAAAGAACAAAGCACAGCGTGGCTTCTTGTTTGCATATTGGAGATAATAGCAGCTATTTCACGGGGTTGTTATGATAATTCAATGAGTGCTTTATCTTATTGCCCATAATGTGGAAAAGTAAGAGCAACTAGTAGAATTAGGCCAGCCACACTGAAGGCACCTGACCAATTAATCCACATTATATATTGCAAAATGAGAACTCTTTACTCACTTTGTAGATAATAAACTCAGTATCACATGCATAGCACATGGAACAGTTGTGATTCAAACCCGGTCATGCTCTCAAGAATATCTCTCTCTATTTTCTTTTTTAAGAATATCTCTAATAATCTTCTTTGTACGCAATTATTTGTCATCACTATTATTTAAAAAAATAAGGTGATCACAGTTTTCAGAACCCAAAACCAGATAGATAATATAGAGTTGAATATTTGAAATTGGGTCTTAAAATTTTATCCACAATGTAAAAGTAACCCATATAGGCTGGGCATGGTGGCTCACACTTGTAATCCCAGCAGCTTAAGACCAAGGCTGAGAGAACAGGGAGAGACGCAGAGCGCCGCGAGCTACCCCTGGGCCCTCCAGGCCCTTCGGCCCCAGGCTGGCGGGTGAGCTGGGGGGCCCCCGGGACAGGCCGTGCCCTCTGCCCTTCAGACACCGGAGGCCACTGGGTCTCCCAGCCCAAGTGTGCCGGGCCTCGACAGAGCCCCAGCTGAGCTGCCCAAATGCAACGCCTTTGGGTGGCGGCGGGACGGGCGGACCAGGAACCATGGCGGCCGCTCGAATGCTGTGCAGTGGAAGCTGTTAGGTCATAAAGGGCCTGGGAAGGTGGCCTAAGGGCACAGGCAGGCTCGGCTGCCTCTTTAGGCCACGGAGCTGTGCAGATCCGGTTCCCCAGTGACGACTCTGTCCCCATTGGGTGAGACTTACCTAGTCCTGAGGACAACAGACAAAGGCCTAAACAGGCCTGGGAGGTGAGCGAAGTTCTGAACAACGGGTGGAACGGTTAGCAGCCATCGGGCTGTTAGTCTTCATTCTACCAGACCTTGCTGTTAGAAGAAAGAAACGGTAGAATGACAGGCCACGTTTGGCCCGTTGGAAATGCCCACCACCCTCTGGGAAGATTTACTGGCCGTTTATGGAAGGCCTGTGTATTTAATATGAAAAGGCTGCTCTCAACTCCACCCCAACCTTTTAATAGAAAACGTTTGTCACATCTAGGCCTTGTAGATGTAAACAGGTTGCCGACGTATGATAGAGTTAGAAAACCACACATCTTGTAAATTCTCATTTGTTTAAAAGAAGTAATAGAAAATACATGTTTTCTGGAGATGACTTTTGGAAATGGAATTGTTAAATGGCCTCTGGAAGCGATACATCCATGTTTGTTCAGTGGGTTAGATGACGCGGAGCTGGAAGACCTGAGAAGGAGGAGAAGAAGGTTCTGTGCTAGACTGGTCATACTTAGAAGATATTTTCCTATTCTAGCCATTGTTTTTGTGTGCATTTTATTCTTCACTACTGTATATATAGTTGACAATGCTAAACTTTTTTGAAAGGTCTGTTTGCAGATGTTCTGAAGTGCCTGATGTTAAAATTAGAGGTAGTAAAATCACATTTTGTAAATATCTTTTTGTTACAATTTGTAGGAAATGTTTTTTGGGGGGAATGGCCTGTTGAGTAATACTCACCTCACCTGTTGAGTAATACTCACTGTGTATGCAGTGGTTCAGGGGAGGAGGGAGGAAGGGGAGGTGCAGAGAGTTCTATGTCACTCTGCTTACAGCACGGCAAGATGAATTATTATCTCTGTGCATTTTGTTTTACTTACCTGTGCATATAGTGTACATAAAGGACAAATGAGTCCTAACTTTAACAACATCGAGTCTTTCTAGATGTTAAAGAGGTTGCCAGTGTATGACAGAAGTAGAGTTAGTAACCTAATGTTTTGTACATTTTGTTTTACAAGTCTAGGAAAGATTGTCTTCTGAAAATTTGAGCATTCTTGCCCACTGGGTTAATGGAGATGGGAAGGGTTCTAGGCCAGAATGTTCACATTTGGAAGGCTCTTTCAAATTCTAACTGTTGTTACATGTTTGCAGTTTATTCAAGACTGCTGTGTACATAGTGGACAAATTAACTCATTACTTGAAACATCTAGTCTATCTAGGTGTTTAGAAGTGCCCAATATATGTTAAATGTAGAGGTAGTAAAATACCACTTTGTAAATATCTTTTTTCTAAAATTCATAGAAAATACTTTAGGAAATTAAATTATGAGCAGTATAGTACTCTCTATACTCGTTCAATGGTTTAGAGGAGGTGAGAGGGAAGAAATTGTAAATGGTAATATTCTGGTGTGTTCACACTTGGACATTTGTTTTTCTGTAGGTTTTGTGCATTTTCTTTTGCTCTGTATATAGTGTATATAACGGACAATGAGTCCTAATTTTTCAACATCTAGTCTCTAGATGTTAAAGAGGTTGCCAGTGTATGACAAAGCATTTAGTAAAATCAATATACTTTGTACCCTTTGTGATAAAATTCATAGGAAAACTTGTCTTCGGTAAACAACGTTTGCATTAGAATTTGTTCAGTCATCTCTAAGCATTACATGTGGCTGTACTTGTCCAATGGATTGAAGGCAGAGAAGAAAAAGAAGAGGGAATGATTCAAGGCCAAAATGATCACATTTAGAAGATACCTCAGATGATAACCATTGTTATGTGTGTGCAATTTTAGTTAACAGTGCTGTGTACATGGTGGACAAGTTATATGAAATATCTAGTCTTTCTAGATATTTGGAAGTGCTTGGTGTATTTAAAAGTAGTAGCAGAATAACACTTTTTGTAAATAGCTTTTTTTTTTTTTGAGACAGAGTTTTGCTCTTGTTACCCAGGTTGGAGTGCAATGGTGCAATCTTGGCTCACCGCAACCTCCGCCTCCTGGGTTCAGACAATCCTTCTGCCTCAGCCTCCTGAGTAGCTGGGATTACAGGTGTGCACCAGCATATCCAGCTAATTTTTTGTATTTTTAGTGGCGACGGGGTTTCACCATGTTGACCAGGATGGTCTTGATCTCTTGACCTCGTGACCCACCCACCTCGGCCTCCCAAAGTACTGAGATTACAGGCGTGAGCCACTGTGCCCGGCCTGTAAATAGCTTTTAAAAAGTAATGGGAAATGCTGTTGGGAAGTGGAATTGTGGAACCACCTGGCAAGTGGGAGGGAAGAAGTTGCAAAAGGTGTTTTGCCATTGTTTATTAGAAAATTTCAGCTTAATCCATTGCCTATATATTACATGCATTTCATTTAACTTTGCTATACTGTATATATTATGTATATATTGGACAAAGGAGTCCCAATTTTATAATATCTAGTCTCTAGATATTAAAGAGGTTGCCAATGTATGACAGAAGTAGAGTTAGCAAACTAACACATCCTGTACACTTTGTTAAAATTCATAGAAAGGCTGTCTTCTGAGAAAGACTTTTGGAAGTGAAGTAACATCAGCTCTAAGTGACACATGTGCCTGTATCCACCAGGTTGTTGGTGGTGAAGAGTTGGAAGGAATGAAGAGTTCTAGACCAGAATGTTCCTATTTAGAAGACACTTTCAGATATAATCATTGTTACATGTGTGTAGTTTACTCAACACTACTGTGTATATAGTGGATAAACTTAAGTCCTAATTTGAAACATCTAGTCTTTCTAGATGCTTAGAAGTGCACAAAGTATGTTAAAAGTAGAGGTAGTAAATAACAAACACATTTTGTAGCTGTCTTTTTGATAATATCATCTTTTGGAAATTGGTCAATTCTCTGAGCAGTACATTATGATATCTGTGCAGGTTCAGGGAGAAGGAGGAGCATAAAGGGCTTTCACCAGTGAGTTTATGATGAGGCACATTGATCATTGTCCCTTATGTCTGCATTTTCATTATGTGCTGTGTATATAGTGTATATAAGCGAACATGAGAGTCCTAATTTACATCTAGTCAATGTTAAAGAGGTTGCCAGTTTATGGCAGAAGTAGAGTTAGTAAATTCAATACATTGAGTATACTTTGTGTTAAAAATCATAGGGAAGACTTCTTAAAAACAGAAGTGAAATTGTTAAAATCCCCCCTAAGCTGTCCATGGAGTTGGTAGAGGTCGGAAAAGGAGGTAAGTTCTAGGCCAGAATGTTCCTACTTGGAAGACACTCAAGTTACAGTCTGTGTTATGTATACATTTATTCAATGCTATCGCGTATATAATGGAAAACTTCAGTTGGAAATATCTAGTCTTTCTAGGTGTTTAAAAGTGCACAACATAGGTTAAAAGTATAGGGCTAAAGTAACACTCCTCTAAGCATTTGTTTTCATTACTTCCTGAGGAGTAATGAAATGGGAATGGAATTGTTAAAAATTTGATGCTTAGGAGCCTATACTGACTATTCATTGGGTGGTGATGGGTAGGGGAGGAAGAGGTATGCAGGGAGAAGGGTTCTGTCCCCCTGAGATTAGTTCAGCTGGTCCAACCATTGTTCTCTATGTGCATTTTACTTAATATTGTGTATTAAAGGATAAACAAGTCAATGCTCAGAGGATGTTAAAAATAGATATAGTAAGTCAGTCCCTTTATGAATGTCTTTTTGTTAGTTTTTAAGAAGGCCTGTCTTCTGGGAGTAACCTTTATTATTAGTCCACTTCTTGGAGCCAGACATCCTATACTTAGTCACTGAGGATGGTGGAAGAGGGAGAATACGGTGAAGGGAAGGGCTCTTTGCTAGTGTCTCCATATGTAGAAGATGGTTTTAGATGATAATCACAGGTCTATATAAATGTTTTTAATAAAGTGCCTGTGTTTATTGTGGATGAAGTTCATTATTTGCAATATCTAAGCTTTATGAATGTCTGGAGTGACAACATAGAGTTAGCAAATTAGCCAATTTGTAAATACCTTTGTTGTAATTGACAGAAAAGATGCATCTTAGACATGGAATTGTAAACCACCTCTGAGCAGTATATATCAGGACTTGTTCATTAGTTGGCAGCAGAGGGGCAGAAGGAGCTATAAAGGGAGAGATGTATGCAGATGTGTCCATATTTACATTTTGAGGATAGCCATTAATGTATGCATCTCTTGTGGCTGTACTATAGGAATATATTAAATAATTTAATGGAAATATACCTTGCTAATATTTTAATGGTATAGATCTGCTAATGAGCTCTCTTAGAAGCGTTATACTTAGTGTATTCTGTTGCTGGATGCTTCATTTTAAATTGAGCATTAAGGGAATGCAGGATTTAAATCGGAACTCTGCCAATGCTTTTATCTAGAGGCATGTTGCCATTTTGGTCTTTATTAAATTTTTATCTCAAGACAGACAGGATTACATTTTTTTTTAAACAGACTGAGTTGGTGTAGTGTATTTTTGGTTATCAAAATGCTCACATAGCTTTGGGCTTTGGGATTTTGAATTGGTAGATATTCATGATGTGTGAAGAATCATGATACATACTATACATTCTCAGTCCCATAAAATTGGATGTTGTGCCTACAGACGCACAGGACCTAGAAGAATGTGTCAAACTATAAACTGCTTGTGATTGTTACTTTGTCCTTTGCTTCTTATGTTTTTCAGTTTCCTCTAATGTACTTTTTAAAAGTAAAAGTTGGATGGGATTCAAGATGGCGCAGTAAGAACAACTCAGGATTGCAGCTCTCAGTGAATGCTCAGAGGGTGAGTCAAAGCCGCATTTCCAGACAGATCTTTGTTGCCCACAGAATGGGGAAATACCCAGGTGTAGGAGAGACACAGGACACCAGCGCAGCTGTTTTGGCTGGTGAGGTCGCTTTGGCTGGCGCCGCAGTGCAGCAGCACTCCGCAACACTCTGCACAGAACGCACTGGTCTGGGTGCCCTGTTAAAATGGCATCTGAGATTTGGGAGGGCAGATTAGCATATCCATCTGATTAAATGGGACTTGGACAGTGAGCCAGACCAGGAGATTCCTGGGAAGTGGAGTTTGAGCCAGCGCAGTGGGTCGCTGCATGGGAAATCACACAGATCCCAGACAAACAAAATGGCAATTCAAAATGCTCCGGGTGGAGAGTTTCACT